GTGGGTGTATGTGTGTTCTCTTTGTGTAGAGTAGGTAGGCATAGGCAAACTCCGGCCCTCCACTTGTGGTGAAAATACAAATCCTTCTTGGATCTGTCTTTGGGAGTCATGCCTGTGGCAGTCAGAGTCTTGTTTTAGTTCCACAGCAGCTGGAAGAAGGAGTTTGTCTACACCTGGTGTAGAGCTACCAAATCTAAGCCAATAGACGTCCTGTCTCTACTAAGTATCTATATCCAGCACCTCAATTCTACTTTACGGTACATTCATACCAGCATCTGCACTCAAACTCACGGCTGCTGGTGTGCATGATTACAAACAGTGCCAATGTGCTCGATTGGGCTGCATTGCAGTGTTACTTTTTTTTTTTGGGTTAAACTTTATTAAAAAGTGACATTTCATTCAGTTCTATGGGCTCTCCACAGTTTGAGGGGGTTGTACTGCGTCTCACTGCTGTGCACTTAAAAAAAAGTATATAAATGTCAGTAAAAATAGGTATATAAATTAGGGATACACCGATATATCGGCCGCCGAAACATATGGGCCGAAAATTGCACTTTTGGCATAATGCCGAAAGTGCCATTTTCTGGCCGATACAGTGGCGCATCCCTGCTTTCTCTCCTCCCCACTGGGCACTGCTCTGTGTCCCAGCGGGGAGGAGAGAAACTGTCACAGGCGGCCGAGCGCTGCGGGAGGAGAGTGGTGGGAGCGGCCAGTGTCTCTCCTCTCACACCGCTAAGCCTCCAGTCACAGAACGGAGGCTTAATATTTCCCCTAAAAGTAAAGTAGAAAATAAAAATATGTAATAAAAAATTAATAAATAAATATAAAAAATGAAAATGTTTATATTTGAAAAAGTTAAAATTAAAAAAACATTTTCGGTTTTGACCTGACATTTTTTTGTATTTCGGTTTCGTTTCGATTTTGAAATGTTCATTTTGGTGCACCTCTAATATAAATAAAAAAAAAGTACTGGATGCCGTACTTTTTCTAAGCACAAACCACCGGAACCAAGCCTATCCATAACAAGGCAGTTTGCCTTGTCTTTCATTCAGGTTGTGCTGGAATAAAGGCAGATAGTGTGAACTGGCCCTTTGACTCGAGCAATAAAAACCTGGCACAGGTTAATCCTACCCCCAGTCTACT